TATTTTGGCAGACTGCTACGCCCAAGGATTTGGCTTTAACTTTAACCAACCCAGCTCTGTAAGCCTATTCATGGAGTAAACTCTTGAACTAAACTGTACAAGTGAGGCATTAAATCTGCTTTGCAACAAACTACATTTTCTACATCGTGCACATTCATTCATTTTTTACACATTGTGCATTGACGTAAAACTTATGTGCTTCTGCCTATACTTTTTGCATTTTTTTGTAGCACAGAAAGAAACTGTTCTCATCAAATTCTCTAATCACAAAGTAAAAAAATGTGCTATACCTGCCGTGTGCCAGGTGGTGCCTGCAGTCAATCTGTCCCTCTCCAGCAGAACCACATTGGTCATGCCCAGTTTACACAGGTGGTAGAGGGTCTGGCATCCCAGGCTTCCTCCTCCAATCACCACAACATCTGCAAACTTCGGCAGGGGTTTGGTGGGTCCACTGATGCCATCCTCCTGTTTGAGGGTCTTCTCATAGGGGACACTCTTCTCTGTGGTGTGTGTCGACTGGGAGCTATAGCAGCGGGTGGTGGCACGGCAGAGGGGCAAGAGGGGCTTTTGGCATGCCATCACCCTCGGTGCTGCAGTTCCCAAGAAGGCCATGGTTCTGAAACAGTACAAGACTACAAACACATACTTTTATTACAAAATGTTAATAGACTGTAAATGAGTACCTCAGGGTTTAGTGCTGGGCCCACTTTTATGTAATTTGTATTTATTTATTATTTAATTCTCAACGTATGCAATGCAAACACGATGAAAGTGTCAAGTACTTGACCAGTAAATAAAGAATAACAATTCACGCGTTTTGTAAAACAGATGGCATGCACTGAAAAAAACAAACAAGACCATAAAGCGATCAGCGTGTGAAGTAGGTCAGTAGTAACCTCACGTTTGTGTCGCACACCTATATAAAACTTACTGAAAGAGCGCAAGTCCTCTGTTTGTTAACTGCTTCTTTAAGAGTGTGAGACTGCTGTTAGATATGTTCATAATCAGAGCAACTGGTGTTCAAATATGGCTGTTTGCTGACTGAGCATGTGGACGAACGCAGCTGTGCTGTGGCGAACTTCAGAACTGCAGATGCGTGAATGAGCCAAACTCTCTGCGACGCGTCTGACAACAAACTCCAAAAGCGACTCACATGCCTGAGCATGATAGTCCTTATGACAGTTGTTCAAACTTGAAATAAAATCCAGTAATACAATTTATAATGCACTACTTCCATAAAAGCTATCGACTCACAAGTACAGCACGCGACCTTTTTTAACAGCTCGACCGTCAGTCTATGAAAAAATGTATCATTAAAAAAAACACAATTACTCGACTTAAATCTTACCTCAAATACTGAAAGTGCATGCATATTTAATGAGGTAGCCTACTGAGGGGTTTATGATTGGTTGTCTGTTGTTAAACAACTCGCCTACAATTCGGATTCAAAATTACAAGTGTGAAACGTTTAAATTGGGTTAAAAGTGGCCTTACTTTACGTTTTTAATCAGTTTAACTTGACATTTCAGAAAAGACAGAGTCTGCCATTCCAAAAATGCTGTCTTGGCAACTAGGTTTTGAGACAGCCTGAAGGTTTTTCAGAGAGTTCCAGAACAATTCATGCATTGCTTACCTGTCAGATGAATAAATCCACTAGGAAAAAGAATAAAACACAAGAAATGATTTTGCTGTTGCAGTGGTTGGGTGCTGTTTAGTGCACACTGCAGCTTAAACGTCCTATTGCCTGCAGCTCAGATCCATTGGTTGCAAGCTGCCAAATAGACATGTTAACCCCAGTGTAAACTCTCCACCCACCAACAGCAAGATCTGTAGTAAGTTCAGTCTGACTGCAGAGCCAATGGTATGTTGTGGAAAGGAAGAAATAAATATGATTTAATGGTTTATTCATATTTACATTATTTTAATATATATAAAAAATATATATTTTATGTTATAATTCTTTTTTTTATTATGCAAATGTATATAATAGCAGATGCATACGTATACAGATTATGTTTATATAGATTTGAAGCACATTTATAGATACATATGTTACCAAAGATGGGGATATGTAAAAGTTGAGTGTATTTTTTTTTAAGTACACGTTGATCAAACATTATTCTGAATACTTATATGCAGTATGTGCAAGTAAAGATTGCTACATTTACATAATCTATAGGTTTATGTGCTGAATGGCACGTGGAGGCTCAGCTGAGAGTTTTCCCTCAGAGCAGATCACAATTAGAGCAGAAAGGTTGCTCTCAGACATCTGCTCTACTGTTATAAGATTCTGAGTTATAGGAGACTCCATTGCTCCGAAAAATTGAGAATGTGTATATTGAGATGTGCATTACAGGAGCGATATAATAGGAACTAACTCTTGATTTCAAACATACATCATAAAACACAAACATGAACATGCTGTATAAAACTGGTGTCAGTAGGCACGCAAATGAGCTCATGCATGGAATTGGATTCTTAATTTCACAAGGAAAAAAACACATTTTAGGAATAAGTTATGTTTACTAGGATGTGTTTTTGAGTTTTTTAAATGTAATTTCTTACAATTTCACAAACAGAAACTGAGTCACTTTTGTTTAAGACAGAATAACAACAGTGTTTTCCAGAGACCGTGAACTTTGACCATTATTGGCTGACCTAATTCTATATACAAGCACAACAAACATCCTGGAGAGCTTGGAAACTCTCATGCACACACAAACCTTGCCTATCTGAAACAACCAATCAGAGGAGGTTTAGAGAGCCTCACCCCTTGTCAGGGCAGTATGACAACACACTGGGTGAAGCAATGACAGAAGCCTATCAGTGACAACTGGATTCATTCATTCAGATACTTTCAATCTGTTGAAAAATGATATTTAAGACATTGCAGATTATTTCTTGAAAATATAACAACAGTGTTTTCCAGAGACCGTGAACTTTGACCATTATTGGCTGACCTAATTCTATATACAAGCACAACAAACATCCTGGAGAGCTTGGAAACTCTCATGCACACACAAACCTTGCCTATCTGAAACAACCAATCAGAGGAGGTTTAGAGAGCCTCACCCCTTGTCAGGGCAGTATGACAACACACTGGGTGAAGCAATGACATATCGTTGAAAAATGATATTTAAGGCATTGCAGATTATTTCTTGAAAAGTCATAGAAGTTTTTAGTCTACAGAGCACTAGAACATTGGATAAGACCCAACGGTTTCACATGTATCAGATACTACACCGACAAAACCATCTTATTAGACATTTCAAACTGCTGTTTCTGTGCAATAATCATTGCAAAGCCATTGAGTGTGTCCTTTGAGAATGAGCTGCTCAGATGTGAGTCTAGACGCAGTGCCATTTCGCTGTTCTTCTAAAACAGGGTTCACTGGGGTCATGAGGAGAAACGCCTTCAGCTGAGGAAGGCGTTTTAGAAATGTCACTCTCACAGACGCCGAACCCTTATACTTACACCTGAACTGTCACATGACCCCTGCACTGATCTAAACGAATCATGCATCAGTCTGCACATTCAACACCTCAATATTGCGAGAGAAACCGTTCTATCATAAAAGAGTAACTCAGTATTACTGTAATGTTTGACTCAGGATTCTGTATCATTAACAAGAGCTTCTATCTCCTGCAATTGTTGTTTTATTTTTTAACTAACTGATTTACCTTTATTGTTGTATCGATAGTTTTGTTATTAATATTTGATGAAAATGGTGTGGCGCGTTCCACAATTTATGTGGAACTGAAAACACTCAAGTGTTTTACTCATCTCATTAAATGTGAATTGTCTCTCTTGTGAATAATGTCAGGAAGGTCTCTTGGTCATGTAAAGTCACCCTCATCAGTGTTATATTACTATCACTGATATACTATTATAATTGTATGGTTTCAATTTAATTTTAGTTAAAGTTTTAGATTTTTGGGGGGGGAGGGTTGTGAATTTTTTTTTTTTAAATTGTCATTTCGGTACGTTTTTTTTCTATAGATTTTATGAAGTTTATTTGGGGGGTTATTTTAGTACTTCCAACTTAAACTAAATGAAAATGAGAAAATATTATATATTTTTTTTGTGTAGTTTTTATAAAGTTTTAGTTTATTTTTGGTTATTTTAGTACTTCCAACTTAAACTAAATGAAAATTAGAAAATATTATAAAAATTTTTGTGTAGTTTTTACAAAGTTTTAGTTTTAGTTTATTTTTGGTTATTTTAGTACTTCCAACTTAAACTAAATGAAAATGAGAAAATCTGAAATAAGATGTTTTTTTGTGGTAGTGAATCATAACAACCCTGCCTCATCATCAACATGTTTCTAAAATTATTAAATAATTTGACATTTTAAATAAAAACATAAATCAAATAGGCATAGTTAATTAACTCAAACCATGGACATTCAAGGAAACCAAAATTGTGGTTGTTGTAATGTTGTACTGTAACCAATAGATGGCGATAGAACTGCAGCAGAACCAGCAGCTGGACATAAAAAAAGTCTAATGTCTCAGCTGGAACTGAAGTGAACAACACCATAATATTATATTCTAGGCCTAACTATGAGTTTATAGTATCTGCATTTATTCTCTGTCTGAGAGACAAGAGATTTCACTCATAAATAACAGCCATAATTCTTCACATTAGGAATTTATTTCTATTGATTGATTTAACTGTCATTCAGATTGAAAACACACCGTGCTTCCTTGTATGGTTAGAAAAGCCATATGAAACTTAAGAAAATTTGTAGCGCTCCAAATAAGACTGCAGGTGCGTAGAGCCAAGAAGATACTTGAAAACGAACAAAAATGTAGCTAGCCCGCACACTGAATCCAACGCAGACTGGAAAAGTCTAGAAAGTATTATTTTTTATTTTATAAATTGCATCGTGCAAAAAAAAGTGCAGAGTGCATGTGAGTTAAACACAGATGAACACGAGCAAGCAGACGTTTCTTCAGTGCTACCATTTCCAGTCTGCACTGGATTCAGTATGCGGCTAGTTACTTTTTTGTTCGTTTTCTAGAAAAGCCATATGCCCACGACAAAAAAAATGTCTGAAGATCAAGTGCTGTTCCTTAAATGCTTGTTTAAGCATAAAATACATGTGACTCACATCCAACATTACTTGTATTTATTTCATTCTTTTTCAAAAACAACCAAATTTACCAAAACTGCCATGCATACTCTTACCAGGACATTTCATTTGGTCCTGCTGTTCAGTTTGGAGAGACACAGAAGGGAATAAGACAGCGAAGAGAAATAAATAAGAACAAATGATTATGATGGGAACAGAGAAATTCGACATGAACAGCAAAAGTGCTCCAACATAGAAAGAAACTCACCACACACACCATTTCAAATACACACTAAGCTCTGTTTGTTCGATTGCCTGAGCATGATAGTCCTTACGACAGTTGTTCAAACTTGAAATAAAATCCAGTAATAAAATGTATAATGCACTACTTCCATAAAAGCTATCAAATGTCCTTTTTTATATAGTTAATAGAGAAAAATACCCTAATAGAGATACAAAATTTGCCAAACCAAAAGATGGACAAAAACTTTCTCCTCAAATATATAATAAAACTGTTTTCCTCTTGAATCGTGGTCAACTATAAAATTCATCAGATTTATTGCACCCTGTTGCCTTTACAGTTCTTGTTTTCCATTGAAAATATTTTTTTCTATTTTTGATTTTTCTCATTTTCTCGTTGTTAGACTTGTGCTTAAAACAAGAAAAATGCCAAAGAAAATACATATTGTCCGAAAACATGTCTTAATAAAAAGTAAATGTAGATATTAGATATTTAGATATTTTTACTGACAAAAACCCCCAAGAAAAATACTGATTAAAAAATGACTTTTGTTGTTGTAGAGTGAAAGTCTCTTCCTAAGTATTGGTCCCAGGCCTCCCTCGTCTCTTCCACAGTTCTGAGGTCTCCATGATGAGTGACATTTGCCCTTATAAAAAGCTGCTCGCTCGTTCTAATCCCTCCACTCTTAGAAAATGACCATTTATGCCATCTTTGGGCCAGTACTTCACAACTCGTCCTTGTGGGTGGCGCTCTGCAGGCCGGCCGGTGGCTGATAACCCTTGAGAGTTTTATGCGAGCCCCTCCAGTCCGTGCGCACATTGTCGTCATCCCACAGCGTAGACGTCTCTGTGTCACTCACCCACTCTGGGTCCCCGGCGTAATGGCAGGGCTGCACCAGAAGGGGGTGTGTGGAATACACCATCAGATTCCGATTGGGAAAATGGGATTTGTAGTCCTCACTATTGAAAGAAAACACCAAAATAAAACAGTTTTAGTAGCCGAACTCTTTAGTAGCTTGAACTCTTATGATTGTAGGCTTTAGAAAATAGGTTATGAATATTTTCATGTGTCGTCACCAGACTCCCTCAAAAAAGATATAATATAATATTATTTGTACATTATATAATATAATTTGTACATTATATAAAATAATAGAAATCCATATTTTATCCCCAAGTATAAGCAATGTAAATAATATACAATACAATACAAAAAAGAAAGTAAATTATACTATAATACATATATATATATAATTTATCCCAATTAAAAATAAATCTCTAAGCATTTAAGCACTTTCAAGCAATATAAATAATGTACATTATATAAACTATTATGGAATTTATACTACATAATATATTTTTTTAAATCTCTAACCATAAGTGTAAGCAATAATATAATATAATTACCAGGCAAGTTAATTAATAATATAATAATACTAATAATATAATATTAATACTATATGTATTTATACTATATCCATATCTTATCCTGGTGTTAAATTCCTACCCCTCAGTATGTGCAATATAATATAATATAATATAATAAATCCATATTTTATCCCCAAGTATAAGCAATATAAATAACATACATACAATACAATAAAATAAATAAATAAAATAAAATAAATGATAATATACAGTATATGAATGTGTGTGTATCTATAAATTATTTTATCCTATTTTATTAATATACATAAATCTATATTTGATCATATAATATAATAAGGTAAGGAATAATATAATAATATCTAATAATATAATATACACTGTATCCTATACACTATATCCTATTCTATATGTTACAAAATTCCTACCACTCAGTATGAGCAATTGGGAAAATATTATTTTTATCTCAATTTTAAAAAGTACTAGAGGTGCTTGCATTACAACCTTTCAAAGGAAAGAGGTCACCACTGATCTATTTAATGTCTCTTTTGGATCCAGAATGAGACTGCTTGACTTTACCCCAATAAATGAATAAAATATAGATTACTTTCAGCAGAAGCCTGTAGAGGTACTTCATGTACTGAGGGTAAATGTGTGTACTAGGCCAGCTGGCAGAGGGCCCTTGGCTTTGTCAGACCTGGAAGGAGAGCAAAGCGGCAAATACCGGCTAAAGTAGCTACTAATTTTGCTGGAATGCGTAACGGGGAAGACAGGGCAGGGTGTTTATAGGGTTAGCCGTCAGCGGGGCAGCAGCAGCACGCCGGATTCTGCCGGGACAGCCGCGGATCGCTGGAAAGATTGAATAACGCGGGGAGAATGCTGCTCTGATCTGTCTCTGTGGGCATGAGGAGCTTCAGGCGGGACATGCCAAGCAAAATTAATAAGAGTCAGAGATGGACGCCAATCCACAGCGCACACACAACCCCTGCGCCGAGGAATCAAAGCTGTTGAGATCTGGGTTTCTTTCTTGGCTTGAGTCTCGACACTGTCCATAAAAATCAAATGACGTGTACAATTACATAGTGAAGAAACTATGCATAGAAAATAAAAGAAAGCAGTCTCCGTACCAAAGCGCACATTTGTGGTGAGCTATTATAGTCAGTTCTACTTTGCAAAAATATGAAGTACTCGTAATATAATGGAGGAGAATCTGGCCAATTGCGGCTGAGTGTCGGCTCACTCGGGCTGTGTTCTGGCAGCAGCTCACCGAAAGTGAGCCAGCTCTGGCCCAGTAATGGTTGCCAGATTTGGCTAGGCTTTGGATGTGCGGACCTGGCCCGATTTGCTCTGAGACACGGCATATTTAGCCACATTCGGCCCGATTACGGACCATAAGGGCTGGTCTGATTTTGGCAGAGATATGGCCATGCAGACCCGGACCAGTTTAGGTTGAGTGCTGGGGCTGGGTCTCCATTTACAATGTGCTAAATAGTATGTAGCAGTGACACTTAAACTTAAAACATCTTTTACCTGCCTATGTTATGGTATGTGTTAGTGTATTTTTAATTTTAATTCCTAATAATTAGTGGTGTGGATTACTTGTGGATTATTGTGTTTTTATCAGCTGTTTGGACTCTCATTCTGACGGCACCCATTCACTGCAGAGGATCCATTAGTGAACAAGTGATGTAATGCTACATTTCTCCAAATTTGTTCCCATGAAGAACCAAACTCATCTACATCTTCAATGACCTGAGGGTGATTATATTTTCATTTTAGGTGAACTATTCCTATAAAATATGTTTCGACCCTGAAGACTTGAGCGTGCTACTCACTTGGGGTGCTTGTCATACATGATGGGTAGAAACTCATCCACAGGAAGCATCTTGGATATCGGTTCAGCATTAAGGAGCTTCTGAGCTCCCTGAAGAGAGATGGCGTAAGAGAGCGTCCAGTAGGAATAATCAGCATACACCAGGTTCCTGACATTTTCCACTGCGACTTCCTCTTCAAGGTTCACCTTCTTCCTGCCCAGGTATCTGCAACAGATCACCACAACAGTTAAAGTCACCTGATGAGTTTTACAATTGGATTATATGCTATAAAATCATAAAACTGTAGCCATAAAACTGAAGTCTTCCTTATAACTGCAGCAAAGGCATTATTCTGGTTCTGGTTTCTTCTAGTTACCACGACAACCGTGTGACAGACGGGTGTCACTCACATGATGTCCCAGTCAAGCTCCACCTGCTCCACCTCCTCCATCAGCTGCATCAGGCGACGTTTAAAGTTGGCTTGGAAATGCACATCGTCCTCAAAAATCAGCGCCTTGTCTAGCTGCATGTCTACCATCTATGAATGATAGAAGCGATCAAATCATTTTGACATACTAAAAACACAGCATATTTTATATTAAATAATTTTAATATGCACTTATGTTTAGTCAGAGTTTGGGGTCAGTATGGGTTTTTTTTCAGCAAGGATGCATTAAATTGACCAAAAGTGAACATAAAGTGACATTTATAATGCTACAAAAGATTTCTGTTTCAAATAAATAATCTTTTTACTTTCTATTCGTTAAAGAATCGTGAAAACATATATTGTCAAGGATTCCACACAAATATGACTCATCACAACTGTTTTTAACATTGATAATAATCAGAAATGTTTCTTGAGCAGCAAATGATATTAGAATAATTTCTGAAGGATCATGTGACACTGGAGTAATGATGCTGAAAATTCAGCTTTGATCACAGGAATAAATTACATTTTACAATATATCACAATAGAAAACAGTTATTATAAATTGGAATAATATTTCATAATATTACTGCTTTTATGGTATTTTTGAACCAATATATTCAGACGTGTTGAATGGTAATGTACAGTAATAAATTTTTAAATAAATAATAATAGTAATAATAATACGGTCACGTTTATGTTCTGTTTTGGTTTTGAATTCCCCGTGTTTCTGTTCTTCCTGCCTTTACCCAGTTTTCCATTGTTCCCTGATTAATCTATTCTGTTCACCTGTTTTGATTTAGTTCTCCACCTGTTTCAGTTCTCCCTGATTACGGTCCATGTGTTTATATGCCCTGTGTTTTCCTCAGTTCCTTTGTCTTGCTTTGACGTTACGTTGTGGTGCTTTACCCTTATGTTCTTCTGTGTTTAACGCTCTTGGATTGATAATTAAAGACTCACTTCTGGATGCTTCATCCACACCGCATCGAGACAAATACTAATAATAACATACGTTTCTATATTGTATATTTTAGCTAAATTAATAAAAGCAACCCATGATACAAAAAGCATTTGGACCCTTAAGTCGTGCTTAAAAATGTCTCTGCATTAGACAAGGTATTCTAAAAAAAGAATTGAAGGTTCCATTTGTTAACTACATTAGATAACATGAACTAACAATGAAAAATACTCCTAAAGCATTAATTAGTGTTAGTTAATGTTAATTTCAACATTTAATCATACATTATTAATCAAAAGTTGTATCTGCTAATATGATTTAATGAACCTCAGCTAACCTTACCTAACAATAAACAGTTGTACATTTATTAACTAGCATTAACAAAGATGAATAAATACTGCAACAAATGTCTTGTTCATTATGTTAGTGAATGCATTATCCAACGTCATCTAATGGAACCTTATTGTAAAGTGTTACCAATAACAAAATATCAAAGTGGCATTTATTTAAATAGTTTTAGGGGCCACTGACCTCTTTCCAGATGTAGTAGTGGCTGAGGAAGCAGCCCACCTCGCCCTTGGTCAGCGTGCGGCCGGAGAAAGGGTCATAGTAACCAGGTAAGAGATCGACACCTAGAATCTTAATATCGCTGCTGTTCAGAGCTCTGCATGCACACACCATTGGAAAAACAAAATTATTGCTCTTATCATCATAGAAAGAATGAATAAAGATTCCTCTTAAGAGTAAATGGCTGTTCTTACGCTCCATCAACAGCAGCCACAACTTTAGCATCAATCTCTAGCTCATACAGCGACCATAACATCCTGTCCCTGCGGTCTGGACGCCTGCGCAGGTTTATCAAGTAGATCTGAGGAGAACAAACACGCATGCTGAATGTTGTAGCTCAAAGCAATGGTTAAAAAAAACACAGAGTATGCACTCAACTTTACCTCATCAAAGCCCATGAGATCAGACTGTTTGGGAGGAACGTGGACATTGCGAGACACATACATTGGCGGCCCGTGGACTGTGGGAGAAATGACTTCAATTAGGACAAATCCTTGACTATGATTCTGTTTGATTAAGGAGCTAATCGCTAATTAGCACAAGGTTAGTGTATTCTTCAAATACAGTGGGGTTCAAAAGACCACACTGAAAATCACACAAGACACTTTTTGGGACATTTTATGCTACATGATCATAGCTATGGAAGCCTGTTTCTACCGCAGAGTAAAACATTTCAAAGAATCTTGTGACTTTATTTATTATAATTGACTTTATATCCCAGAATGTGACTTTATGGCTCACAATTGCTAATTTTGTCTCATAATCTGACTTTATATCTCATATCTGTGACTTCAGTTTCATATTAAAAAAGTTCACCTCACTATTTCCTATCCTATTTTTAATCCTATTTTTATCATTCTTGTCAGTTGACACCCTTGTGAAAAAAGTATACTTTAGAGTACTAATATATATATATTATGTGCCGTCAAACGATTAATCGCGATTAATCGTTTGACAGCACTAATATATATATATATAATGTATTTTAAAAGACAATTCTTAAGTGCAAATTTTCAGACACTTAACTCCATGCTAATTGCAATTAAAGGAAAATGTTTTATAGTTAAAATCATGTTAAAATGTCAGGTATTTACATACATTTACAATTACACAATTGTAATGATTTTGTACAATTGAATACATTCCAAATATAATAAATGTACTATGAAATAAAAGACTACAGTTCAAATTATAATCAAGTACATTACATGAGCATTAGTATGTTAGTCAGCACATCAAAATAAATAAGTGTACTTCTTTAAAGCATGACAAAAGATTAAAACATAATCGTTTAAAATGTACTTTAAAGTAAAACTTTTAATATGACATTATTAAAAGGTGCAATTTATAAAAGTGTATTTTAAGGGATAGTTCATCCAAAAATAAGAAAATAAATGTCATCAATTTATTCAGCCTCATGTCATTCCAAAACCTTAAGACTTTGATAAATCCTTGAAACACAAATGACAATATTTGTATTGAAACCTACTGTAAAAGGATTCTGTCCCTTTAAAGTCCAGGTAACCAAAACTTAAAAGACCCAAAAAGGTCATAAAGTGTCATAAAACAAATCCATTCAAATCTAGTGGTTTTGAAGTCTTGTGAAGAGATACAATCACTTTAAGTGGTCTTTTATTTCATTATTATATAATCTGCAAGTACAGTTTTTTAAATATACTTAAAAAAATTTTAAGTACTGCAATCGTGCATTGAATGCATTGAATACAAGTGCACTGCTTTTCGCACAAGCTAGTTTAAGTGCTGTTATCACTGTACATTTTTCAAGTTATCGCCCAAGGTTATTCTAATAATATGATTTAAGAAAAAAAAAAACGAAATGTTAGTGTTACTCACTCAGAGATTCCAGGTAAAGGTGGACAAAATTGATTCGATCATCCTCCACGGTCTGATGAGGCTTTGCAGGTACGTTCAGATACCCATAACGCTCCTTGTTGCACAGATACATTTGAACCTCTGTTTCAAAGAGTGAATCATATCAGATAAATAGTGTCAGAAATGTAACTCGCTCTGTCTCTTTCCAAGCACTATGTAAACAAAAACTTTTATTTTGGATGCGATTAATCGCGATTAATCGTTTGACAGCACTAATATATATATATATATAATGTATTTTAAAAGACAATTCTTAAGTGAAAATTTTCAGACACTTAACTCCATGCTAATTGCAATTAAAGGAAAATGTTTTATAGTTAAAATCATGTTAAAATGTCAGGTATTTACATAAATGTACAATTACACAGTTGTAATGATTTTGTACAATTGAATACATTCCAAATATAATAAATGTACTATGAAATAAAAGACTACAGTTCAAATTATAATCAAGTGCATTACATGAGCATTAGTATGTTAGTCAGCACATCAAAATAAATAAGTGTACTTCTTTAAAGCATGACAAAAGATTAAAACATAATCATTTAAAATGTACTTTAAAGTAAAACTTTTATTATGACATTATTAAAAGGTGCATTTTATAAAAGTGTATTTTAAGGGATAGTTCATCCAAAAATAAGAAAATAAATGTCATCAATTTATTCAGCCTCATGTCATTCCAAAACCTTAAGACTTTGATAAATCCTTGAAACACAAATGACAATATTTGTATTGAAACCTACTGTAAAAGGATTCTGTCCCTTTAAAGTCCAGGTAACCGAAACTTAAAAGACCCAAAAAAGGTCATAAAGTGTCATAAAACAAATCCATTCAAATCTAGTGGTTTTGAAGTCTTGTGAAGAGATACAATCACTTTAAGTGGTCTTTTATTTCATTATTATATAATCTGCAAGTACAGTTTTTTAAATATACTTTAAATTTTTTTAAGTACTGCAATCGTGCATTGAATACAAGTGCACTGCTTTTCGCACAAGCTAGTTTAAGTGCTGTTATCACTGTACATTTTTCAAGTTATCGCCCAAGGTTATTCTAATAATATGATTTAAGAAAAAAAACCCCGAAATGTTAGTGTTACTCACTCAGAGATTCCAGGTAAAGGTGGACAAAATTGATTCGATCATCCTCCACGGTCTGATGAGGCTTTGCAGGTACGTTCAGATACCCATAACGCTCCTTGTTGCACAGATACATTTGAACCTCTGTTTCAAAGAGTGAATCATATCAGATAGTGTCAGAAATGTAACTCGCTCCGTCTCTTTCCAAGGCTATCTGATTGTCAATCCTAAAAAAATGTTGCAGTCAGTTGGACACAGGGACGAATTTTTCCAAAACTAAATCCAAATGTTAAACTCATCATATTGCATAAGAGAAATGAGATCTGCTGGAGTCTTCCAGAAGGGGGCGCCATACCCGATATCCTGCAGGAGAAGGCAAAAACGATGATGTCGTCAAAGGGCCAGGAGTAGTCTTTGTGAGGGGGGTGAAAGGACACTTTCTTGGTGCCCTCTTTGCGCAGGTCCAGCAGAATAGTGGAGTGGACCATCGGCACAGGATAGCACCCCCGCCTTTGCCGCTGCTTTGTGGGGAAGTACTCAGCAGTACGACGATAGTAACCCTGAGACAGACAGAAAACTGAACAACACAGCCAAAGGACAAAGTGTTTGAGCAAACAGTCCTCAAATGTGATGTTGTATTTCTTAGGAGATACTCACTTAAACTGAATGGTTTTGTCACACTGTTTGAGCACAGAATATCTGCTCTCCCTCATGTATAGCTTTGTGAAATATGATTAATTTGAATCAGTTTGTCTGGACAATTCATGTAAATCAACCTATTTAAAAATTAATCACAAATTCACGTTTCCACCATGCACAAGTTCCAGTGCAACATTTGATGTCTTTTTGTAGCAAAATATTTAGTGAATGCTGTAATGCAGATAAATATTTAGGTCAATTATTTAAATTACTGCAAACATAAATCTTTACTGTTATACTGTATGTATAAACTGCTACTGAAACGTTTGGGTCGTATAAGATTTTTTTGGTAACACTTTACAATAAGGTTCCATTAGTTAATGTATTATCTAACATGAACAAACAAGGAACAATACATTTATTACAGTATTTATTCATCTTTGTTAATGTTAGTTATTGAAAATACAGTCGTTCATTGTTTGTTTATGTTAATTCACAGTGCATTATGTACTAATGTTAACAAGCACACATTTTGATTTTAATAATGCATTAGTAAATGTTGAAACTAACATGAACTAAGATCAATAAATGCTGTATAAGTGTTGGTCATTCTTAGTTCATGTTAACTAAAGTAGTTCACTAATGTTAATGAACCTTATTGTAAAGTGTTATCGATTTTTTTTTTAATGTTTTGCATTTATTTGATGAAAAATACAGTAAAACTGTAATATTATAAAATATTATTACAAATTAAAATAACTGTTTTCTATTTGAAAATCTATTTTAAAATATAATTTATTCTTGTGATCAAAGCTGGATTTTCAGCATCATTACTCCAGTCTTCACTGTCACACGATCCTTCAGAAATCATTTTAATGATGATTTGATGCTCAAAAAAAACATTTTTCATATTATCAATGCTATAAATTTGATATTTTTCTGTTCTTTGATGAACAGAGAGTTTAAAAGAACAGCATTTATTTGAAATAGAAAAGATTATAAATGGTTTTACTGACCTTTCTGATAAATTAATGCATTTTCACTGAATAAAAATATTAATTTCTTTAAAAAACTCACAGTACTTTTTAAGTATCATACACACACACACACACACACACACAATGAAGTTGGCTACTTTTCATTACTTTGACTATAGTTTAATATCACCAGTAGTCTATGAATTCAAAAGGTACACTGTGGTTTCTCCAGTGCTGTTATTATTATACAGCAACAGTGGAAGCAGATATGGCCACTTTATTGATGTGGCATATTGCAAGATGAAATGTTAGCTATCACTCATTGTGTTTTAACGATATGCACAAGTACACACACACACACACACACACACATACACACTTCCAAGCTGGAAATTCATTGCATTGTACCTGTGGAGTGATGCCACACCAGTAGTTGGAGTACGCTGACTGTGAGTCCAGCATGGGGGCAATGACTGACTTATTCTCCGCCATCAAGAGGTGCAGTGTGTTCGGGTTAGTCAGGATGTTGTCTGTGTCTGAGTACTGCAGATGAGGAAATAAACACTCTGATAACACAATCCTAACTATATAATTTAATAGGCATGATATTAGCAAATATAAAACATACTGACATGATATGAGCAACAATAATTTGAGTGCATTCCAGCACTATTCACATTTCTGGCCCCAGTAAGATCTGAACCTCCATGATCTTTGAAGAATTTTGGTTGTATTTTTTTTATATTCCTGTTATAGATATTTGGGTGTGTGTGATCCAAAATTGGGGTGTGTAGGCTCTAACTGGGTCATACCAGAATGTAGTCAGCCCAGCGTTTCTTGGCAAAGTTCAGCGCTGCCTGTTTGAGCTTCATAACATACTCATAGCGGCCATTAGCCCAGTGCTTGGGCCCCAGCTCACCTACATAGGATCTGTGTGGATAAAACAAATCAATTCAAGATTCATTGGTAGTACCTAAATGTCAAAAACCTTTAAAAAAACAATCCCAAAGCATTTTTAAACTTGTGGTTTTAACAGGATAAAGTATCTGCCATATGTTCATGTTGTGTGATGTTCATCTCACGTGGGTTTTTCTAAAGGTCTCCACTCCACATAGTGATACTGTGTTTGCATGACTGTGAGCCATTCTCGCAGGATTGCTGTCGTGTTGTCAATGTTGTGGTCTGTCGCCGCCCTACAGGAAACATTAAGCAGAGAGCAGGAATTAATTGGTGTCAGTAAATTGCGTCTACCTGAACACATACGAAGCCACTCAAAAGATTGCACGTTTTTGGCCACGCTTTATGATACAACGCACATACATTACAGACTTCCATAAGTATATATGTGAACATTTATATGTTTGCTATAAAGTCATGTGGTGCAACCACCGTTCATAAATAATACAGGAAAAACAACAGGAAGTGATATCATATAGAGAAAACCCTCATTACTTTGACCTTTTTATGGAAAGGCAAAGTTAGTTCAGGATGTAAAATGTCAAGTGGTGCAACTCCTCCAAAAATGTAATGATATTTATGAATTTACAATTCACGATTTAAAAAAAAAAATACTTTGCACCTTTTGAAGAATAATGATTACGTGTGCACTGATTTATTCAAGGAATAAGGAAAATATTGTGTCTTTATAGTAAATAAATTTAAACTTTAGTTGAAAAGGGTTTAAAAGTTTTAAACTGTATAAAACAAACACCAACTTGGCATTCATGTTTTAAACTAGAATTTTCAGTTTGGCCACTCTTATTTGTCTTTGACTTAAATACTGAGAAATACAAATCAACTACAAGAATTAACTACTTTTTATATTTGTAATGTAGCATTAGACTTCTCCTGTCCATTTAATCACAAAATACACTACTTGAAGCTCCTTTAAACGTTAAATCGTGCACTACATACAGTATTATTTTTACCTAGATTATTTTCTAAATAGTATGCGCTATTATGCATTAATGTGCATAAATACACAACATACAACCCAAACGTTATTAGCTGGGGGGGGGTCTGCTCTTGGGGGAAAGTCTGAAAAAGTCAAGGGGAGGAAGTGATTGAATGCAAGTAAGATTTACATTTTGACATCTACAAATAATAAGATCATCAACAAGCTTAAACTGCAAAGAAGGAAGTCACCAACCAGATGGAGATGCGCTCTTTGGGATAGTTTAATCTCTCGAGAGCTCCGAGGTAGTAGGGTAAAGAATGAGCGGCGTTCCGTGCTATTATTGCTATAATGACTGTGGGCGGCTGCATCTTTGACTCTTCAGTATAATTTTCCTCTGAAAAGTAACATTGTGCTACCGCAAAAATGGTCCAAACACTTATAATCCAAGATAACATGGTTGGATTTCGGTGGTCCTCTGCGTCGTTGCACAAACAGTCCCATCCGCGTCAGCAGCTGAAGGAAAGAGGGCTCTTCCCTAAACTTCACACTCCTCTTCAAATCTCCGTTCTCCCCGGAGGAGCCAACGTGTTCTGTTAGCTGGGTTTGAGTTACAACTTCCGTGTAAACTGTTACATTGTATGTTCGGTGTAACATTTGCATTGACTGGTATTTAGAATGTTTCACCAGAGCACATCGACGTTCTTTTCTAAAGCCCAACTGTTACATTTTAGATTGCTAAATGTTGCCTTAACGTCTCGCTACATTGTTTCACTAGCCAAAATGTTTCAGGGCAGTATGCTGACGTTCATGTAGGGGTTTCCGTCACACAGAGCAACATTGACTTTCTTTCTTCTCGTTTTTGTGGCAACCAAAGAAAGCGTCTGAACCACCTCCATTTTAGAGTTTAGATTTCCTTCAACTTTTCGTCTGAAAGAACAAAATGAAGAAATGACAGTTTGATAAAGTGTAGTCAACTGAGACCACATCATCAGTGTGTCAGCATACATCTGCTATCGTACATTATTAACAAGCTAATACACATAGCAAAACACATTATGTAACTGCTTAGATGGAAAACGTTCTAATTTAACAAAACAATCACACAAAGTACAAGCTGCTTCTTTCATTAAACGTTTGCATACAGTGAGTGAACAACCACAAGAGGGACATGTTGAGCTTGTTTCACAAATGAACCAGCTGGCATTTTAAAGGGATAGTTCAACCAAAAAAAAAAATTATGACATTAAAGGGGTCATATGATGCTTTTTTAAAGATCATTATTTTGTGTATTTGGTGTAACAGAATATGTTGACATGCTTTAATGTTCAAAAAACACATTCTTTTTCAAATACTGTACATTATTGTAGGTCCTCTATGCCCAGCCTCCCTCAAACACTTCGTTTTCTACAAAGTCCCTCCTTCCGACAAGCGCAGTCTGCTCTGATTGGCCAGCTGACCCAGTGCATTGTGATTGGCCGAACACTGCAAGCACTCGTCGGAAATGTAACGCCCCTTACCATAATCGCGAGCTTCAGCTTTCAAAATAAATGTAAAGACAGAGCCCGAAAGGGGAACAGAGTCGCGTGACAGACACAGTGATGAAGCTGGTATATGTTTGCCGCACACAAGCCACGGTTAAGACAGCTGGCTCCACTGTGATGTGTCTCGCTCCCTCTCTCTCTCTCTCGCTATCTCTCTCTCTCTCGCTATCTCTCTCTCTCTCGCTCGCTCGCTCGCACACACACGATGCGCAAAACTCCGCATTTGAACAGTCAATAGCAAATACTTAAACTAATAACAAAACAGTAGCTGATTCAGAAGCGCCAGATCGTCATAGCAAAGTCAGAATTACCTCCTCTCCTAGGTTCACGAAACGGTCGTCCATAAAATGCATTGCTGTTCTGTTGTAAGTAATCTTAAAGATTCCTAAATGCATCTACTTTCGGAAGGCCAAATAAAGGGCTTTTGCTTTCGCCTAGAAACACACAGCGTCTCCCCAACATGCTGCTTCAACACTAACTGCGGTTACTGAAACCACGCCTTCTTTCTTTGCGTGAACGTTTGGGCGCATTATGCAAATATTTCTACATAGTGACGTAGATATGTGGGGGCGTGTTAGAACGAGCCGTTTTAGGGGGGCGTGGCAGAGTCATAACTTTGATAAAGAATATCTCTTTGGTTTTGAGACTTTAGTCTTTGGAACTTCAGGGATCTTATCTATGCACAATCAGCTTGTAACACTCCAAAGAGAAAGGAAAACTTGAAATCGCATCATATGACCCCTTTAATTACTCAACCCCATGTTGTTCCAAACCCCTAAGACCTTCATTCATCTTCAGAACACAAATGAAGATATATTTGATGAAATCCGAGAGCTTTCTGACCCTGCATAGACAGCAATGCAACTGAAACGTTCCCAGGCCCAGAAAGGTAGTACAGACAACGTTAAAATAGTCCATGTGACATCAGTGGTTCAACCGTAACGTTACGAAGCTACGAGAATACTTTTTGTGCGCAAAGAAAACAAAAATAATTACTTTATTCAACGATTTCTTCTCTTTCACGTCAGACTTTTTGTCACACGTTCACGACAGTAACACGACGCATGCGTGTGTGCATTCCTCTGCTTGTAAACAAGGCTCAGTGCCTCTGGCTCCTGCGTCAGCAGCATCACACGCAGGCGTGGTGGGTGGTACTCTCGTGAATGGTAGCGGATACTGACCCGAAAGAGAAGAAAGTGTTTAATAAAGTCATTATTTTTGTTTTCTTTGTGCACAAAAAGTATTCTCGTAGCTTCATAACGTTACGGTTGAACCACTGATGTCACATGGACTATTTTAACGATGTCTTTACTACATTTCTGGGCCTGGGAACGTTTCAGTTGCATTGCTGTCTATGCAGGGTCAGAAAGCTCTCGGATTTCATCAAATATATCTTCATTTGTGTTCCGAAGATGAATGAAGGGTTTTTGGGTGAACTATCCCTTTAATATGATATGTCTCCATTGGTTTGACATTGAAAGAGCTATTTTTCCCTATTATGTGAAGCTAAAAGGATAGATAGATATATAGATAGATAGATAGATAGATAGATAGATAGATAGGTAGATAGATAGATAGATAGATAGATAGATAGATAGATAGATAGATAGATAGATAGACAGACAGACAGACAGACAGACAGACAGACAGACAGATAGACAGATAGACAGATAGATAGATAGATAGATATCAAAACTTTTGGACCACCTACAGATGCCATGACATAAAACTTACAAATGTTTCACAGGTTTGTAAAAAAAAAAAGGATGCTGCTGTGCTTTAACTCAACCAAAGCACTTAAAAAACTCAATATTGATTCCATCTTTTACTGGTTGTTTATCTACAAAGGAATGTAAAATTGATCAGTGGCCATCCACACTATTGAGTTCTTGTCTTTATAAATGCTGAGATGCTCCTCACAGAGAGATCCTCAATGAGGAGATGCACCTGAAGAGCAAAACCTTGGAGGGTGTAATCAGAAAAGAAAACAGCCAACGAAGAACAAAGAGATAAAGGCGCTGAGAGAGTAAACGGAATACGGCTAGCATCCAGCTAAACTGATTTCAGAGGCTTTCAAGTTGCCCTGCTATCATTGGCCAGTCGCACTGCCTGTAACAATTAAATTTGCGCTGTGTTTAGTCCTGGTCAGGAGACTTGGGTCAAAGGGAGTGTCGTTTCATGGGAACCACGCCTACCACTCCAACCCCTGGCCCTCGGAGGGCACTTTCCCAGCGCCTTCAGCACAGCCAACCCTGAGAGAGTTCACCTACATCCTAACTAACTTTTCACTGCTGGGTCAAAGGTCTGAGGAGCAGGGCAGCAGGGTGTGGCGGGGGGTCGAGGGCACACAAGACAACTAGTCTGGGCCCAAACATTTACTCAGAGAAGGTGGGGGCCATTTTCCCCCCTGGACAACATTGATTAAGCCACTTTATCCCATGCCTAGTGGGGGGTCTACCATGAGCCTATGGGTATACGAAGCCATGTGGCACACAAAGTGAAAGGTGGGGGGTGGGGTGTCCACTGGTCCTAGAATCTTTTTTTGACCGGGTCAATCAAAATCCCCAAAAGGGCAGCTGTGACACTATGGGAAAGCCTCAAACTTCGGCCAGCGTTGTGATAATCAATAACATGTTCCCATACAGACGTATCACGGCTCATCAGCTCAATAACTGTCACTCACGATCCCACGCTCAGCTCAATCACGCAAACTTACTCAGCAGTCGTGAAGTGACAGGCCAACACGGAATGAATGTCAGTTTGTGAAATTAGTTTGAATCTTCAGTGAAGCATTTTTGGAGACTTGGTTTGTAAAAAGACATCAGCTCTGTTCTGAATGGAATACAAGCATACTGCTTACTGCAACAGTAGCATGCTAAATGCAACATAGGCTCAATGGAAAAATGTGATTCTACCTACATCTTTGCAAAACTCAAAAAACATGCGTATACCTACAATTTACTGCAGTTTCCAGCTGAAATTAACATTAAAACACTAACATTTATTGTTTTTCACACAAATTATGATTGCAGGGGCAGATTATCAATCAATAAAGGCTTATTTTTGCACGGCGTATGTCCACTTTTTTTTTTAGATGTCTTTATGACTTTGTGCCTTATATAATTGGAATCCAAAATGTTTATCTACAGTTTCACTGTTGTCATGAAAAAGTATGTGCTATTTTGGAATTTTGAAAAAACAACTTTTGCTAACTCCTCCTTGATGTGTATTGAATCTTCACTGAGTTTTGCTCAAATAATCTTCAGACAATGAAAACTTAGGCTGCACCAGAAGTCACATACTTCCCTACTGTATAGTAGGAGAAAAACAGTATGTGAAAAGTGTAGTATGTTTGAATTCACAGTATTTATACAGTAGGCGAAAAGTCCCTGAAGTCCTACTCTCGGTTAGATTCTGAAGTGGGCATCTGATGGACACTTTATTATCCCATGAAGCCATGGAGAGGAGTTGTCAATGGAGGTGAAGCGACTGGTAAGTCACATCACATATGCATTCATACTATATATAATATAGTATATTTCTTAGCGGTTGCAAAGTAATCACTTATTCACGAGAGCATGCGATTTTGGATGCATCAAAATCTAGTTGAGCGCATTTCATCATGAGATAGTGTTCTTCTCTTTTTTGTATACTAGGAAGTTTAGTACACTCTAAGAAAATGTAGCCTACTGTGTTAATATGAAGGAATTTTCAGTATTGATTTTTATTTTTTTTTACCTGTATTTTGAATTACCTTTTGCACTTAGTATGTTTTTTAGGGTTGAAGGAAATGTCCATAAATTTAACAGAAATTTTCTACCATTCTAAATGGTAAGTTTGTCTATTATTTTTATATATTTTTTTCTTACATCGTATGTCATCAGGGTATTCTATGCATATAGAAAATGTACATGCTGTTTACGGCAAAAATACGAGAAGTCCACTGTAAAAAAAATACACATTTGTATACATTTGTATAAAAATACACATTTGTAAAGTAAAGATTATTGGAGTATGT